TGAGCAGCTTTGTAAGTCACCCTACCTACAAAACTTGTGGTTCTTGGCTTCCCAGGGAGGCTGGGCCAAAGTTTGCAGCTCCCCTGTCCTGCACAACCTCCTCTTTCCCCTAGCTGCTATCCCTGGCTGGTGGTTGGCTTTGGCTTCTTTGTTTGGCTTGCATGGGGAAAAGTGGATGTGAGTTCACCCTCAGTAAGTTCAGTAGTCAATTTATTAGCTCACAAAAACATCAGCCCTGTTTGTGGTCTCATATGAGGCAAAGTTCTGCCAATTTGCATGGGTCAGGGCCAACTCGTGTCCTGGGGCCTGGGTCTAGCACCTCAGAGTGGGAAAACATTCCTTTCCTACCACCCCTCTTGCTTTCCATATCTCTGTCCTCAGACCGTGAGCTGAGAGGGGCTCTTTATCTGTCGCTGAAACTTGATCTCTGCAAGGAGTCTCCTCAGAGGCCAGGTCATCAGTTTCTAGGGTGTCATGGGTGCTACTTCCCTGTGGCTCCTGGAAGAATGGAAACTGGCCTTATGCTTTCTTAGCTATTCTTAGGGAACAGCTGTTTGGACTAAAAAATGGAACTGAGGCTCTGGAAGAATCTGATACAATACCCACCGATATTTAGCGAATATATGAAAAAGCAATTTGGGCCTTTAGACACTCATTTAATATCAACTGTGCTTCTGGAAACAATGCCAAAGAAATGGGGTAATGAGACCTTTGTTTCTAAAGACATAAGATGGGAAGCTGGCTGGCTTTGTTCCCCTGGGAAGGATGTGAAAGAGATGGCTGAAATCGAGGCATTTCTTCCTCTGCTTCTATTGGTTCCCAAGATAACATCATAGAAACTCCTAGAGCATCTCATCCCAATTTGTCCTAGAGTACAGTTTACTAATAGTGTACCTGCATACTTCCAAGGCTAATAAGACCTTTTACTGTGTGCTCAGGAGACAAAAAGCAGTGCTCTCAGGTCTCTTACCCTTTGAAGCTGATATCAGAGAACTGCTCTTTAAGTTTTTATGACACCTACGGCTGTACTCATTATGAGGGGAAATTTGTTGGTAATTTGGACTGAGACTGTGCCTAAATATTAAGTATAAGAGAGATTTTGCTCTGGCCGGTTTTTCTCAGCGGTTAGAGCGTTGGCCTGCAGTCCCGAGAGACCTGGGTTCGGTTCCCGCTAAGGGCACGTACCTTAGTTGCAGTTTGTCCCCGGCCCTGGTTGGGATGTGCAGGTGGCAGCCACATCGATGTTTCTCTCTCTCCCACTCTATCTGAACATCAAAATGGAAAAATGTCCTCAGGTGAGGATAAAATAAATAAATAAATAAAAAAGATTTACTCTGGAAGATCCAGCTCTTTTGTATCTAGTATGTATACGTTGGAGAGCCCACCACTATGTTTGCAAAAGACTATGAAATGGGACCATAGGTCTGTGAAAAGAGGAATTATATACAGATGGGAAAATTTTCAGCTCTAGTTGAGGGTGCAGGGGCAGTGCCGTTAGGAGATGGGTGGGGAGCCCTTCCCTTGTCCCTGAGCTTGCTGCTGCTTTCCTCTTAGGTATGCAGTGCTTTGTGGTCAGCTGGCTGAGCATGAGGGCATCCAGAGGCGCATCCAGAGTGGCTTTAGCTTCAAGGTGAGGAGAGGCTTCTCGTTTTTCCCTTGTGCTGTCCATCTTCCCTGCTCCATCCTAGCTCCTTGCAAAGGGTGTTCCTATCACCTCTATGACTCGCCCTCTTTCCTTATCAACTCTGGTGTCTGATGTTAGTTTATATTTACATTTACCCCCTCAGAAACATGTGGACCAAGCCCTTGCTCTCCAGCCAGAAAACCCTATGGCACACTTTCTCCTTGGCAGGTGGTGCTACCAGGTGAGCTAAATTCCAGGCCTTAATGTAGGGGCCTCAGCCTGGCTCACATGCTGTGTCCTCTGAACAGCCATGTCACTGATTGGACTCAGCCCCATTGACCCTGTTTGTTTTCAGTATAGAAAATGGCAATATTTCTAAAAATTTTTAAACTTTTTATTCATTCCTTGATCTTTTGGTGGCAGGTTGCTCACCTGAGCTGGCTAGAAAAAAAAACTGCTACAGCCTTGTTTGAAAGCCCTCTTAGTGCTACTATTGAGGATGCCCTCCAGAGCTTCCTAAAGGTATGGAGGGGGGGGGGTAGACAGCAGCCAGAAATGCCTGGGTGGCCTTGTTTTTCCTAAGAACATAATTGGGTTTCTGGTAGGGGCCAGTTTTGTTTGCCTGTTTGGGAAAATCAGAACGACCTGAGAGCGTATAAAAAATATAAATTCCCAGACTCACTAAATCAGTCTCCAGGTAGGGGACTGGAAATCTCTAATATACTTTAGAGCTTACTTGAATTTGGGGAACACCTTACTGAAATGCGCTCCTCCTTTCTCCAGGCTGAAGAACTACAACCAGGATTTTCCAAAGCAGGAAGGGTATATATTTCCAAGGTAAACTCAACCTATTTCAACACAGATGAAAAATATGTATGTTGATAATATTCTGGAAACTCCTAAAAGCATACCTATTTATCCAGTTATAGTCTCCTAGTCGTGTTTCTCCCGGGTTTTCACTGTTGTCTCTTCTCAGTGCTACAGAGAACTAGGAAAAAACTCTGAAGCTAGACAGTGGGTGAAGCTGGCCATGGAGCTGCCAGATGTCACTAACGAGGTAATGCTTTTAAGAGCTTTTCTCACACTGGGTTCCATTATTGAGTCCTCCCTGGACCTTTCCAAGAAAGAAAATCTTCCCTTAAAGTCTTACTTTCCTAGAAAAGGGTCTTCACTTTTGTATTTAGGTGCTATAACAGATCCGAAAGGAAGCAAAGGGCCCTTCTTCTTGGGTACCAGTGGTTTGGGAAATGTTGACTTTTAGATTTTGGGTCCTAGTCTTGTTCTCTTGTCTCCCTAGGATTCAGCTTTCCAGAAGGAACTGGAAGAACTGGAAGTAATTTTAGGACACTAACCACATTTCAATGGCCTTCATGACTTGTGAAATACCACTACTTAAGGGGGATGAAAATCAAGCCTTTTTTTCCCTTAGACCTTGCTTAGATCGGAGCCTGAGCAAAACTGGTTAAGGGAGTATCCTGACTCATGGTCTAACCAGCACTTCCTACCATTCCAGAGGTTAATTTATTCTAATCCCTGATTAATTTGAAATTGGGGATGTACTTAAGGCCTGGGTTTCTCTTGTATTTTCCCTTAAGTGAATGTGAATTCTTGAAAAATCAAGACCTGTCCTAAGCTTGAGTGTGGGTGAGAACTGAAGGCTGCCTTCCAACTGCTGGTAAGGTGAATGAACTTCAAAGAGCTAGAGGGACAAAACACAGAACTTGTACTTTCTCACTGATTGATATTCAGCACCAAATTCCCTAATCCTATGATCACACCCTACCTACCAAGGTAAAAGGGAGGGTCAGGGCAGTCCATGGATATTGCCCCTTCTCACCTATCATGTAGATTCTAATTGTATTCCTGGGCTGAGGGGCTGGACCACTTGACTTCCAGTCTTGGCTGCTTTTGGAATGACAACAGTGCATAAGGCTTATGAGACTGTGAAATGATGATCTGAGGAGTTGCCTGAATATATTTTTGGTAAGCTTAAAATAAACCAGATTTGATTAGAAGTAATTATATTCCCCTTTGTTTATTTATTAGCTCCTTATTCTTGACACTTTTATAACTGTTTCCTGCTACATGCTATTTCAGTGAAATTTTTAGTTACTTGTAAAATACAGACAGAGAGCTGATTTTTAGCCAAAGAAGGCCTATTCCAACTAAGCAGGTGTTCCCTGACCCACACATGTTCACTCAGAGCCACCAGCACAAAACCTAATCCCACCTATGAGAAAAACTGAGACAAATTTCTAGGTCAAAAGCATTTAAATGCTTTTATACAAGAATCAAACTTTCATTCCAGAATCTGTCACTGTGGTTTTATTATACCACACAAGGTTTGTTTTTTTTGTTAAGAGAAGACCTCCATTCTTAAAAGCCAGGGAACAGAACTGCTTTTAAAACAAAGCTGCATTAAACTATCTCCCTATATAAAGTAGGATCAACACAGGCACCAGCAAAGATTTTCACTGCCTTTCCTCCCACTAGTAGCTGAGAGGCACTAAGAAATGCAAAGAAAAGTATCTCAAACCCCTGAAGTCAAATAATCCAGGAAAGCATCAGAGTTCTCTACAACATGAGACTTACACAATAAAAACAAAAGGCCACAGGAAAGCTGTGATATATCCATCTTGTAATAATCTGTTAGATTGAAGGATAGTAAACTTAATCATCTGAATATAGGCTTTCCCTTTTAAATTTTAGAGCAATAGAAACTGATCACCCTTGCCCAGTGCCAAAAGGATATAAAGGCCCTAACTCCCAATATTTAGTTTGTACCAGAATAACCCCTATAAACAGTAGTCACTGCAAATAAACTACTTTATTAGCATCCCCACACTGATTCTACTTACTTGAGTCTCTGAAATGCTTAAGATTCCAGAATTATCTTGAATTGCTCTTAGCAGTACAAAAAACCTCAAGCAAGTAGATGGTAAAGGGCTAGTGGCCCAGCTGCTCGGTACTCCTTAACTAAAAACAAAGTCTTACAGAAGATAATTCAGGCATACAAACTAAAAAAAACCTCTGTCTGACTGACAGATTTACTGACAGAGAAAAAGAACCCGTGAGGAGACCCATTCCTTAGACATTTTTTTCAACATTATTCAGACAGTGAGAGAAGTCAGGTCTCCCCAGCTTTAGTTCTCTTAGAGACACAGTATTGTCCATCTGTTAGTCCTGAGTCAACCTTAAGGCTCTGTCAAAGGTATTCCATACCACCACCCCCAACCCAAAGAATTCACATAGAGATTAATACACTCTCTAGAGAAGTAATAAACATTTCAGATCAGTTTGTAACTACTGACCTGTCTCCTGTTTACACCACCAAAAATCTGATACAATAGCTGTTTTCCCGGAAGCTTTTTTTTGGCAGTCACAACAGGAAGAGGCCTGCAAAGAACGCCAGGGAGTAGTCTTCTCCATTAGGTTGCAGCATGAAGGTTTACCACAGGAAAAAACCCAATGATTCAGTCTTTGGCATCTCCCACTCCATCCGCATTGATGGCAAACATAGCTTCAGCTTCCGGAAGACAGGGCGAATCATAGATTTTGCAGATTCTGGTTTCCCCTCTTCCTTTTCTCAGGTACAGTCTGACTCAAAAACACAGACCAAAACACCACAAAGTTATTATAATAAAAAATTATATTCCTATTTATGATAGAACTAAAAAAAACTTTGGATGTATATACTTCCTAGAAGGACCTTTGGGATCTCTCTGTATTCCTTGCGGCACTTCCATTCTGGAGGAAACCATTTCTGCCCTGTTGTCCCTTCCTGCCCACCGCCCCCACCCCTGATGGATTTTTCATATTAAAACAATTATTTTCTTTTAATAACGAGGGAGAGCCGCATCCATTCTTCATATTCAGTCCTCCACATTTGAGGGCTTTTAATTCTTTTATGAACTAAAAGCAAACACCTATACTAACCAAAGCTTGACAATTAGATTGAGTAAGAGCTCCTTTGTCTAACTACACAACAGTAGCCTTAACAGGGAAATGTTACATCTTCGCGTCTACTTCATAGTTAACATGACATTCCAAGATGAAGTCATCTATCCCATCACTTTACCTGGTTGTTGAGGCATGAGCAATGATATTTCCTCCAATAGGTTTTTTAGGATCTGCAGCAAACATGGCTGCTCCATCCACTTGGGCTACCACCTGGTTGGTGATTACCACTGCTACACCAAACTGATGGACAAAGGATAAATGTTATTTTTTGTGGCAGAGGCATTCCAAGGACTTTACTGCTGCCACTCCTTTCCCCCACAAACCAATGAATAACTCAAGTCTCTCTTCATATCTGAAATCTTGATGATACCAGGCCCTGGTGTCCTGGCCTCCCAGCAAGGCTCCTGGAATCCGTGGCCCCAGGATTTATTCTGTCCCCACCCGACAACTCACCTCATCAGCAAGTCGCAGAAGCATCCGCAGAAACCTGGCCAAGTGCATCTGCCTGGCTGAAAGTTCACCTCGACCAGAATAGTCTGTTCTGTAGAGGGCAGTGGCACTGTCTACAATCAGCAGTGCATACCTACAGGGAATAGGGATTCTCTGAAGCCTATTTCTAGCTTATATCAGATTCTGCTTCCTCCCTCTTACTATGCTAAAATTTCATATTCACAGTTATACGTATATATAGATGTTTCATTAACATATTTGTATAGTGTCCGGCCGGTGTAGTTCACTGGTTGAGTGTCGACCCATGCACCAAGAGGTAACAGGTTTGATTCCCGCTCAGGGCACATGCCCAGGTTGTGGGCCTGATCCCCAGTGGGCAGCATGCAGGAGGTGGTCAACTGATGTTCTCGCTCATCGATGTTTCTATCTCTCCCTTCCTTTCTAAAACCAATAAAAGAAAAAAATATTAAAAAAAAATATTTGTATAGCATTCATGTCTCAGGTACCATATAACAGGTAAAATTTCCAACAAGGTCAGGTGGATTATGGTTTCTTTTTTAAAAAATTTTATTTATTTTTAGAGAGGGAGAAAAAAAAATTGATTTGTTGTACCACTTATTTGTGCATTCATTGCTTGCTTCTTGTATGTGCCCTGATCAGAGCTCAAACCCAAAACCTTGGTGTATCAGGACGACACTCTAACCAACTGAGCTACCCAGCCAGGACTATAGCTTCATTTTTTAACAGTTACTTGACTTTAACCACAAAGCAAGAGTCAAAATATGAATTAAAACTTAAATCTCCCCATTTCTAATTCAAGCTACTATCAGTGTACCCAAATAGCCTATATAAGACTCAGGGTAAGTGAGCATATTCACTGTCTTCTACTGAGCACATACCTGGACTCTACCATCATAGCTGATGCTTGATAAAGCAGCTGGGTCTGGTGGTCTGTGTTGAACCCACGAGCATATGCTACATTATCTAGGACATCACTACCAGAGAGACCATATCTAGAAGAGAGGAGAGAATAATTTTAGGCTGCACACAGAACTCAGATAAGAAATTCATCTCTAATAAAGAAATTACCTACATGAGTAGGTAAGAAGTGGTGTTGGGCTAAAGAATATTAATTCCCTTTCTATTAAAAAGTCCAGACAGCCCTGGCCAGTTTGGCTCAGTGGTTAGAGTGTTGGCCTGGGGTCCAGAGAGACCCGGGTTCTGTTCCTGCTAGGGGCACGTACCTTGGTTGCAGTTTGTCCCCAGCTCTGGTTGGTCGTGCGAGTGGCAGCCACTCAATGTGTCCCTTTCACATCGATGTTTCTCTCTCTCTCTCTTCCTCCCCCTCCCTCCCACTCTATCTGAACAAAACATGGAAAAATGTCCTCAGGTAAGGATAAAAAAAAAAAAAGTCCAGACAAACTACACAGAGAGAGAGAGATGTCAGCAGTTACTTCTTTGGAGTAGATCTATCTGGCAGGAATTCAGAATAAATTAAATCTATTTTTTGAGGACTCCTGAATTAGAATGAGAAATTTCCAAATATAAGGAAACAATGTTCTCTTGGAAAGACCAAGGGCAACATGACAGATTAGAGACCGAAACAAAAAAATGAATCACTCAAAGATCTATTAAATTCATATAAACTTATTACATAGGAATTAAATCTTCTAAGCAAGGACTTAAACTCTTAAGACATTCAAGAGAAAAAAGTATATAATTTCTTTTCTTGCTAGTAATTATAGTTATACCTCAATAATGATTTTTTTCCCTTTGCATTTAAAAAAGGCAAATAAAATCTCTCATTTTCGCCCTGGCCGGTTTTGCTCAGTGGTTAGAGCGTTGGCCTGTGGTCCAGAGACCTGGGTTTGGTTCCCGCTAAGGGCACATACCTGGGTTGCAATCTGTCCCCGGGCCTGGTTGGGTTGTGTGGGTGGCAGCCACTTGATGTGTCCCTTTCACATCGATGTTTCTCTCCCTCTCTCCCTCCCTCCCACTCTATCTGAACAAAAAATGGAAAAATGTCCTCAGGTGAGGATAAAAAAAACCAAAAAACTCTTATTTTCTTAGAAAACTCTGTATTTTCTCACCTTTATAACTGCTACCTAAGACATGGTTTTCATTTTTACTAAATGTACCATAATTTCTTCAAAGATAATTTGATTTATGCTTGCACTTTCATAACTTGACTGTATCTCTCAAATACATGTGATTCTCCCTCTTCTGCACTTCTAAAAAAAAACTGATTTAGGTCTTTTTGTGACACTTGTGAGGAGCTACACTGCCATTCTTTGACTAGATGACAGATTCCTTGAGGGTGAACACTAAGCTTGTCTACCATAGTACATTTTTTATACCTAGTAAATTCTGAATGTTGCTGAGTAAAGATTTTACTCACAATGCATATGCATACAAAAAGAGAATCACATATGTTATTTTAACCCAAGTCATATTTTCATATTAATGTCACTTAAAATATAGTCCAAAATATAATACTGACTCCCTTAATGTAATAGTTCAAAAGAGAATCTGTTTAGCCCGGCTGGTGTGGCTCAGTGGTTGAACATCGACCCATGCACCAAGAGATGGCCAATTTGATTCCCGGTCAGGGCACATGTCCAGGTTGTGGGCCAAATCCCCAGGTGGCTGGAGGGATGCATGCAGGGGGCAGCCAATCAATGATCCCTCTTATCAATGTTTCTATCTTTCTCCCTCTCCCTTCCTCTCTCTCTAAAATCAATAAAGAAAAAAATTAAAGCCCTGGCTGGTATGGCTCAGCAGTCAGTGTGTGTTGGCCTGCAGACCAATGAGTCACGGGTTCAATTCCAGTACCTCAGGTGCCATTTGTCCCAGCCTTGGTTGGGTTGTGTGGGAGGCAACCAGCTGATGTGTCTCTCTCTCACTGATGTTTCTCTGTCTCTCCCTCCCTCCCACTCTATCTGATGACAAACGGAAAAATACCCTCGGGTGAGGATTAAAAAAGAAAAAAAAAAGAGAATCTGTTTAAACAAGTCAATGTGCTATAATTCTTTGAGAATCAAAAGTCTCTATGTTTATGATTCTATCAGTCTTTAAAAAGCAGTCTATTTTATGTGATGACTCCGATCATTACAAAAACATACACTGTGTCAAACCTATTTTTCTGAAATTTAGCTTTATTTATTGGTTTTCCTCTCCAGTAGAAAAACAAAAGAATGTTCTAGCACTTGAAATAGCATTGCAGTAAGATAAATCTTGATATCAGGAAATGCCACTCTACCCAATTGCATTTTCCACACCATACAATGGATTCTTCATTTAAGGCATACACAGTCCTGACACTTTCCCGGACATTTCATCTGCTATTCTTCATCATCATCATCATCATAAATGAAAGGTTAGCCATGGCATTCAGTGGATTGATAATGATGAATTATTAATTAAGTCTGGGCCCAAAAGGAGATGGAGAACAAAATTTTACCTTGGGATCCTGACCAAATAAAACAGGAATAAGAGATAAAATTTTCCATATTTATTTATTTAAATACTTTTTCTTTACTGATTTGAGAGAGAGAGAGAGAGAGAGAGAGAGAGAAACATCAATGAGAGAGAACATCGGCCACCTCCTGCATTCCCCCCACTAGGGATTTGGCCCACAACCCGGGCATGTGCCCTGACCATGATCCGAACCAGCAACCTCTTGTATGGGCTGATGCTCAACAACTGAGCCACACCGGCCGGACAAATTGTCCATATTTAAATCATGGCTATATGATTTAAAAAATTTGTTTTAAAAATTGATGTTAGAGAGAGGAAGGTAGAGGGAGAGAGACAGAAACATTGATGAGAGAGAACATCGACTGGCTGCCTTCTGTATGCCCCCCACTGCGGATCAGGCCCACAACCTGGGCAGGTGCCCTGACCAGAAATGGAACCAGCAACCTCTTGGTGCGTGAGTTGATGCTTAACCACTAAGCCACACCAGCTGGCATGGCTGTAGGATTTTTATAAAAATCAAGAGGCACCTGGCTGGAATGGCTTAGTTGGTTGAACATCAGTCCCATGAACCGAAAAGTCCCTTGAGCCAAAAAGTCACCAGTTGATTCCTGGCCAGGGTACGATCCCCACTAGGGGATGTGCAGGAGGCAGCAGACTGATGTTTCTCTCCCTCTCCCTTATTATCTAATATCAATAAAAAAATTAAAAAAAAAAAAAAAGATTCAAGAGGCCTAAGTATCATACTACAGAAGTTTTCTAGTCTTGTCTCAAGAAAAATTAATGTCATCTACTATTAGGAAGAGAGATTATCTATTGCTATCAGAACATGGATGGTTTACCAAAAAAACCCCACAAAAAACAAAGAGCTAATCCTGGCTTTCCTCTTAGCAGTGTTCCCAAAGACAACTATGAGGACCTCTGTGCTTAAGTTCCTAAAGCAACATGGAATTTTCAGTTCTCACAATCTGGAAAAAGTTGGTTGAAAATAAGCATCCTCTCTCATAGTGTTTCCAGAACTTCCTCAAAAGATAAGAATAACCTGGAACACCTGGTAAAAAATAAAAATTCTTGGGCCTAAACAAGACTTAATGAATCAATTTTCAGGGAAGACACATAAAAATTTGTATGCTTAACAAATACCTTAGGCCCTGGCCAGTTTGGCTCAGCGGTTAGAGCGTCGGCCTGCGGTCCGGAGAGACCCGGGTTCGGTTCCCGCTAAGGGCATGTACTTCGGTTGCAGTTTGTCCCCGGCCCTGGTTGGTCGTGTGGGTGGCAGCCACTCGATGTGTCCCTTCACGTCGATGTTTCTCTCTCTCCCTTCCTCTCTCTCCCTCCCACTCTATCTGTACAAGAAATGGAAAAATATCCTCGGGTGAGGATTAAAAAAAACAAAACAAAACAAAAAAAACAAATACCTTAGGTGATTCTTAACATATAAACTTGAAAAACTCAGCTGTATCAAGTCAAGGTTCTGTTACTCTCTCTTTCATAGTACTTAAAAGAACTTTTAAAAAATGTGGTGACACTGTAGCTAGCAACTGTGACCATGGTTTTCAAACTTCAGCAAGCATCTTGATTACCTGGAGAGCTTGTTAAAACAGATCGCTGAATCCTATCCTCAGTCTCTGTTTCTGATTCAGTAGATGACCTACTTTAAGTGTAAAATTCAATGACTTTCTAGTAAATTTGAGAGTTGTACAACTATCATCCAATTTTAGAACATTCCCCTCACACCAAAATGATCTCAAATCTATTTGTAGTTACTTCTATTTCTACTCCCAACCGCAGGCAACCACTTGATCTACTATCCTTATAGATTTTCCCTTTTTGGAAATTTCATATAAATGGAATCATATACAGAATGTCTAGCTTCTATCATCTAGTATGTTTTTGAGGTTCCTCCATATTGTAACACATACTGGTACTTCATTACTTTTTATGGTTGAATAGTATTTCATATATATTGGAAATACATCATGGATAAAAAAATCTTGTATATTCATCGAATCTTGTATATATAATCAGGTGACAGACATGGGTTGTTATCAGTTTTGGAGATTATAACAACACTATAAACATCCACATACACGTCTCTGTATGGACATGTTTTCACATCTTTTGGGTAAATAACCAGAGTGAAACTGCTGCATCATAAGGTAAATTAGTTTGACTGACAGTCTTTTCCAAAGTGACCACCATTTTACATTCTCATCAGCAATGTATTAGGGTTTAAGTTTCTCCACATCCTCCCAACACTTGTTACTTTACAAAAAATATTTTTTTTCTTGATATTTTAGAGAGAGAGGAAGGGAGAGGGAGAGATAGAGACATCGATGAGCGAGAAAGAACATTGACTAGCCACCTCCTGCATGCACTGCACTGGGGATTTGGCCCACAACCTGGGCCTATGCACAGACTGGAAATCAAACCAGTGACCTTTTGGTGCGTAGGTAGATGCTCAACCACTGAGCCACATCGGCCGGGTGTCTATATCTTTTTTTTGTAAATCCTCACTGGAGGATATGTTTAGAGAGAGAGGAAGGGGGAAGGGGGAGAGGGAGGAAAAGGGAGAGAGGGAAAGACAGAGTGAGAGTGAGAGAGAGAGAGAGCGCGCACACGCATGAGAGCGTGCACTGGTTGTCTCCCATACACATCCTGACTGGGGATGGAACCTGCAACATAGGTATATGCCCTAACAGGGAATGACTGGGAATCAAACCCGCAACCTATTGGTGTGCTGGACGATGCTCCAACCAGCCGAGTCACTGGATGAGGGCTTGTAACTATCCTTTTTATTACAGCCATCCCAGTGGTGTATTTCAGCATGATTTAAAATTTTTTCTCTTTATTGATTTTAGAGAGAGAGGGAGAGAGAGAAACATCAGTGAAAGAGAACATTCACTGGCCACTTCCTGCATGCCCCCACTGGGGATCTGGCCCACACCAGGGCATATGTCCGGACCAGGAATCAAACCAGTGACCTCTTGGTGCATGGGTCGATGTTCAACCACTGAGCCATACCAGCCAGACTCACCAGGTTTTTTTTTTTTTTTTATCCTCACCCGAGGACATTTTTCGATATTTTATTCAGATAGAGTGAGAGGGGGAGAGAGAGAAACATCGACGTGAAAGCGACACATCGAGTGGCTGCCACCCACACGACCCAACCAGGGATGGGGACAAACTGCAACCAAGGTACGTGCCCCTAGCGGGAACCGAACCCGGGTCTTTCCAGACCTCAGGCCGACGCTCTAACTGATGAGCCAAACCGGCCAGGGCAGACTCACCAGGTTTTAATTTGCATTTCCTTTGACTAATGATGATGAGTATCTTTCCATGTGCTTATTGGCCGTTTGTATATCTTCTTTAGAGAAATGTCTTTACAAATCTTTGTCCATTTTTTAATTGGGTTAATTCTTTTTTGTTTGTTTGTTTTGTTTTATCCTCACCTGAGGACATTTTTCCATTTTTTATTCAGATAGAGCGGGAGGGAGAGAGAGAGAGAGAAACATCGATGTGAAAGGGACACATTGAGTGGCCACCACCCACACGACCCAACCAGGGCCGGGGACAAACTGCAGCCAAGGTACAAGCCCTGAGCGGGAACTGAACCCAGGTCTCTGTGGACCGCAAGGTGACGCTCTAACCACTGAGCCAAACCGGCCAGGGCAATTGGGTTAATTTTTTATTGTCTGGTTTTAAGAGTTATTTATATATTATGGATACTAGACTCTTAGCAGAGTTTTCTCCTGTTTCTTTTCCTCGCTAAGAGTTATCATTTTAGATCTTATATTTAAGATTATTATCTTAATGCCCTGGCTGGTTTGGGTCAGAGGTTAGTGTGTTGGCCTGCAGACCAAAGAGGCACGGGTTTGATTCCAGTCAAGGGCACATATATCAGTTATAGTTTGGTCCCCGGCCCTGGTTGGGGTCGTGTGGGAAGCAACCAGTCGATGTGCCCCACTCTCACATCGATATTTTTCTCTCTCTCCCTCCCTCCCACTCTATCTGAAGATAAATGAAAAAATATCCTCGGGTGAGAATTTTAAAAAATAAAATAAGATTATCATCTTAAAAAATAATTGTAAATATACGTAACATAAAATTTACCATTTTAACCTTTTAAAAATATACAGTTTAGTGGCAGTAAGTACATTCCTATTGTTTTGCAATTATCACTATTAGAACTTTTTCATTCCAAACTGAAACTCTGTACCCATTAAACAGTAAGTCCCCAATCTCCTCACCCCAGCCCCTGGAAACCACCATTCTAATTTGCCTTTATGAATATGACTAATCTAAGTACTTCATATAAGAGGAATCATACAGTATTCACCTTTATGCAACCAGTTTTTTTCACTTAGTATTTTCAAGGTCCACCCATGCTGTAGCATGTGTGAGAATTTCCTTCCTTTTTGAGACTGAATAATATTCCATTGTATATATATACGCCATTTTGTTCATCCATTCACCTACTGATGGATACTTGGACTGTTTTCAGCTTTTGGCTGCTGTGGATAGCCATTGGTATACAAGTACCTGTTTGAGCCCCTGCTTTCACTTCTTTTGAGTATATAACCAGAATTTGAATTGCTAGATCATATTGTAATTCTAAGTTTAATTTTTTGAGGAATCACCAGACTATTACCCATTTTTAGTTAATTTTTATAGATGGTATAAGGTAAGGGTCTAAATATATTTGCATGTGGATATCCAATTACATTAGCCATTTATCTTAAAAGACTATTATTTTCCTCATTAAATTGCCTTAGTAGCTTTGTCAAAAATCAAACAACTAGCCCTGGCCGGTTTTGCTCAGTGGTTAGAGAACTGGCCTGCGGACCAGAGACCCGGGTTTGGTTCCCGCTAAGGGCACATACTCTCAAAAAAAAAAAAAAAAATCCAGCAACTAAATAACAGGGTTATTTCTGTACTCTCAATTCTACTCCATTGATCCATATATCTATCCTTATGCTAGCACCACACTGTTTACATTATTTTAATTATTGTTGCTTTATAGTAAGTTTTCAAATTGGAAAGACTAAGACCTCCAATTTCACCCCCACCCCCAAATAATGTTTTGGCTATTCTAGGTCCTTGACATTTCCATGTAAATTTTATAATCATATTGTCAATTTCTGCAAAAAAGCTTGCTGGATTTCAATAAGGATTGTTTTGAATCCATAGATCAATTTGAGAGATTATTAATAATCAATTTGAGAGATTATTATCAATCTTTTTTTTTTTTTTTTTTCATCCTCACCGGAGGAAATTTTTCCATTTTTTGTTCAGGTAGAGTGGGAGGGAGAGAGAGGAACAGAGAGAGAGAGAGAGAAACATCGATGTGAAAGGGACACATCGAGTGGCTGCCACCCGCACAACCGACCAGGGCCGGGGACAAACTGCAACCGAGGTACGCGCCCTTAGCGGGAACCGAACCCGGGTCTCTCAGGACCGCAGGCCGACGCTCTAACCGCTGAGCCAAACTGGCCAGGGCATTTATTATCAATCTTAATAGTATTGCATCTTCCAATCCATGACTGTGGAATATTTCTCTATTTATGCAGATTTCAATTTCTCAGTAATGTTTTGTAGTTTTCAGTGGACCAGTCTTGCACTTGTTAAATTACTAAATATTATTATTATTTTTTATCCTTACCCAAGGCCATCTTTCCATTTTCTGTTCAGATAGAGTGGGAGGGAGAGAGAGGGAGAAACATCGATGTGAAAGGGACCCAATAAGGGCCGGAGACAAACTACAACTGAGGTACATGCCCTTAGGGGGAACTGAACCCGGGTCTCTCTGGACCGCAGGCCGATGCTCTAACCACTGAGCCAAACTGACCAGGGCTACTATATATTATTTTTGATGTTACTATGGGTGGGACTGTTCTCTTAATTTTTGAACTGTTCATTGCTAGTACAGAAAAATATTGACACTGTAGCCTACCACCTTACTGAACTAATTTATTTCTAGTAGTTTGTATTTATGTGTGTGTGTAATTTTTTAGGATTTTCTACATATAGGATCATATCATCAGCGAATAAAGAGTTTTGCCTTCCATTGCAATCTGGATACCTTTTATTTTCTTTCCTGACTGCACTGGCTACAGACCTTTAGTACAATGCAGAAAATAAGTGGTGAGAGTGAATACCCTTGCTTTGTTTCTGATATTAAGGAGCAAGCATTCAGACTTTCACCATCAAATATGATGCAAGGTGTAGGTTTTTGCAGTTGCCCTTTATCAGGGCATTTGATAAATGTTCCATGCATTACTGGGAGTGAGATATTGGTCCCCAACTATTATGGCTGAATTGTCTATTTCACTCTTCAATTATGTCAGTTTTTGTTTCACGTATATTTGGGCTCAGTTATTAGATGTGTATGTTTATAATAGTTATACCTTCCTGATGAACTGACCTTTTATTTTATTTAAAAAAAATTTTTTCTTTATTGATTTTAGAGAGAGAGGAAGGGAGAGGGAGATAGAAACATCAATGAGAACATTGATTGGTCGCCTCCTGCATGCCCCCCATTGGGGATGGGACCACAACCTGGGCATGTGCCCTGACCAGGAATCGAACCGCAACCTCTTGATGCATAGGTCGACGCTCAACCACCAAGCCACACTGGCCGGGCTGAACTGACCTTTTAATTAGAAAATGTTCTTCTTTGTCCCTAGTAATATTTTATGTAAATATGTCTTTTTGTCTGATATTAGTGTAGCCACCAAAATTCTCTAATGGTTACCGTTTGCATGTAAATCTTTTTCCATTCTTTTACTTGAAATCTGTTTTGAGTTTTTGAACCTAAAGTGTTTCTCTGGAAGACAGTATATGGTAGGATCTTGTTTTTTTATCCAGTCTGGCAGCAACTCAGATTTCTCACTAAAAAAGAATGCTTTTCTCTACTATATACATGCAACTTTGGCATATGAAGTAATAAGAGAAGACAATACTCTTTAGCCAGACTAATCCTGATAACCACAACAGTGACAGGTACAGCCATACTTCTTTCATCTAATCCAGTAACCTACCTCTCAGCTACTGCTAGTAGCCGTTCTGGCCTAAAGGTACCCTCGGTGTCAATGTACATGGCCTTTCCTTCACCTCCACCTCGGTCAATGGGAAGCTAGAGAGAACAAAAAGATCAGTAGAAATGAACACTGTACTTCTGATATAATGACTAATTTACCCTTGATTCTATAAATCTCCCCCATCTCTAACACTTCGAAGTGACAATCAGAGGTAGGAAGAACGAGCATTCCCTTCTGAGAGAAAGATAGCTAGTAGAAGATACAAAGCTCATTGTGTCCCACAGCACATGAGCTAGAACTCTTGCCAGAGCTACACTGCTTGGAAATATAGTCCAAAGTAGGTGATAAAATTCTATAACTGCGTAACAACATAAGACTAAGCAATCTTCTCAAGTGTACAAACATTTGGAATATCATTTGACTCCCCTTTAAGAAAGAGAGCCTAATCCAATACCCAATTAATTTAGCATGTCCAAACCACACTTACATTTCATTTTATTGAACAGAATTCATTTCTGCGGGTTACTAGAAGAGCTTGGCAATGTCCCTAGGGCATCCCTAGCAAGTTTAATGTATGAGCAAGAAAGAAGAAAAAGGTGTTTGTTCCAACTGTAACATATAGATGTTAAAAATGAACAAAAGGCCCAGCCAGTGTGGCAGTTGAGGTCGCCGGTACAATTCCCAGTCAGGGCACATGCCCAGGTTGTGGGCCAGATCCCCAGTGGGAAGCGTGCAGGAGGTGGCCAATCGATGTTCTTCTCTCATTGATGTTTCTGTCTCTCTCTCTCTCTCTCTCTAAAAATCAATAAAGAAAAAAAAAGAGAAAAAGTAAAATAAATTATAGAAAAAGAAAAGGAAGAAATGCCATGAAAACTATCTCATGAGCTACTCAAGGAAATCTCTGCTTTAGGCTCCCCAGTCCATCCATGCCAGACACCTTTGAGTTCTAAAGATTTTAGGTGAATGATACTAAAGGGTATTTTCCACCCTAAAAATCTCCTGTCCTAAGGTGGAAATTATTATTCACCTTTAAATTCTGAAGAAAATCCCTTAGGACATTTTACATTAAGGCACCAAATTTTCATTCTTTTCCTATTTCCGAAAACAAAAAACCCTTTATTTTAAAAATTAAAAAAATACCCTATGCTTGTATTAAATTTTCAAATACAGAATAAAGTACAGTAAAAATTGAAACCTCTCTTCATCACTCGTCTCCTGGAAATAATCTTCCAGATAATTTTCTATGTATTGTCATACAAGCACTTTTTATTATATGTGGTTCTGACACTATGTGTCCCTCAGAATATTCTCAGTTTCCTTTTCTGTAAAATGTAGATAAAACCCACCTTCTGGGATTGTTTAGAAGATGAAATAATTTACATAAAGTGTTTAGCACAGTGGCTAACAGACAGAAAGCACTTTGAAGACTTAACAATATTTGCCTTGGCCGGTTTGGCTCAGCAGTTAGAGCATAGGCCCATGGACCAATGAGTCTCAGGTTCAATTCTGGACAAGGGCATATATCATGGTTGCAGTTCATCCCCAGCCTTGGTTGGGGTCATGCAGGAGGCAACTAGTTGATGTGGCTCTATCACATTGATGTTTCTCTCTCTTCCCCTCCCTCCCACTCTATCTGATGATAAATAGAAAAGTATCCTCAGATGAGGAATTAAAAAAAAAAAAAAAAAAAAAAAGACAGTATTCTCTACCTCTGGGCATCAACTTTTAGCATATAATCAGTTATGGAAGTCTTTAATTTGAAAAGGGAAAAATGATTGTTATCATTTGGCAGGTTAGCAAAGTCTTTCAAATCATAGAAATCCATGGAAGGAGCAAAGGATATGTATACAACAAAAGACAGTTTTGACAGAGAAAAGGTTTGGAACCACTGGTCAAGAGGACAGAGAGCAGAAGCTGCCTCAGTTTTTGAGGGAGGAGAAAACCTTGACACACTCAGGCTGGGTCCCCAGGAAATAAGTTGAATGAGGCTCTCCTTTCTCTCACTTTCTGGTATCTTTAGTACTAGCATGAGAGGGCTTTCTTTTCTAGCTGGCAGAAGGCAAGAAGGAAGGCCATAGATAGCTGGACACAGGTAGGCAGACTGACAGTAGAGGCATGACAAGGTCCCAGTGTATTGCTGAGCCAGTCTCAAGGGGATGGACTGCATGCTCTGCACTCCAGCCCATTTTGTCTCCTCCATCTTGCTTTCCCAGTGTCACGATAGCCATCTTGTGTTATTGGATTGGCACACCAGCAAGTTTGCTTTTTAATTAACTGCTTGGTACCATAATTTAACTCTTCTTCCTATTTTATAGTAATGCCGGTTGTTTCAAACTTTCACCATTTTCCAATGCTATTGTGTAAATTCTTTTATTTTTTAATCCTCACCCAAGGACATTTTTTCATTTTTTGTTCAGATAGAGTGGTAAGGAGAGAGAAGAAGAGAGAGAGAAACATCAACATGAAAGGGACACATCAAGTGGCTGCCTCCCGCAGGACCCAACCAGGGCCAGGGACAAACTGCAACTGAGGTACGTGCCCTTAGTGGGAACTGAACCTGGGTCTCTCTGGACCTCAGGCTGACGCTCTAACCACTAAGCTAAACCACCCAGGGCTTGTGTAAATTCTTTGTACATTTATCCTTGACCATATGTGAAAAGTTCTGTACGACACATTTTCTGTCAAAGGGCATGTGCCTTTAAAATTGGTACTTAAGTTAAATCATCTTTTCAGAATTTTAAAATTACTCTAAGGCTTTAAGAAAGCATAACCTGCTCATATTTTTGCAACCTAACTGGCTCTTAACTTTTTATAACTTCACCATAACAGAGTTCTAACATATATGGAACTTCACTTCATTAAGATGAAAAAATCTGAACAAATGAGAGCAGATAATGTTTAGATTTAAGTAGTAATCTAACATCCTCTCTACACCTCTGGTTCTAGCTGTTAGACTGGTGAAATGTAATCCTTTCTATTATTAATGAATTAACACTCTGAAAAAGATACTCAGCCACCTGTGAATGCTTAGTTATTTTTACAGGGAGGCTATGTTTATTTGAGAATTTTCTTTCAGTTTATTGTTGACAGGCAGTACTGACTACTTAATAAACATTCCCAGGATAGGATTCTGTTTGTACAACTTAAGAGCATCAGTGTGACATGCTAAGTTCCCTGGTAACTATAACTATTGTGTATTGTACTCTAAATATTTATTCCACATGAATCCCTGTCAGAACAACATAAGGAAAACATTTCAATTTAAATAGGTCATATATCATGTCAAATGACCCATGTGAGGGTGATAATTTAAACAGTACTATTTCCCACCCTGGCCAGTTTGGCTCAGCAGTTAGAGTGTCGGCCTGTGGACCAATGAGTCACAGGTTTGATTCCAGTCAAGGGCAGGTACCTCAGTTGCAGTTTGTCCCCAGCCTTGGCTGGGGTCAGGTGGGAAGCAACCAGTCGATATATCCCTCTCGCATCGATATTTCTCTCTCTCTCCCTCCACTCTATCTGAAGATAAATGGAAAAATATCCTCGGATGAAGATTAAAAATAAACAAACAAACGTACTATTTCCCTTTAGCTAACAATATTCTAATGGTGCTCAGGCAATAAGCTATAGCTTCCACAGCTTACTACCATTCTTCTTCTCAATGATTCTCCCCTATTATCCTGAAAGTTCTCCTATCCCCTAACTCTTCCCTCTGTGGAATTATTTATGAGGAGAGCTAACAATGGCTTAGGTCTACTTGATAACTTGGCTGTCATAAAACATACTATATAACATTTTGGTCTGCAAGGAAAAGATCAGTAGAGCAATTGAGGAAAGAATTAAAATGATGAATGAAAAAGGAAAAGGATGAGAAAAACAGACTATCAAGTTGAGCCTCATGCTGTTAGATAAAATTTTATTTATAAAGAATCAGAATATTTTCCTATGTTTTTATTTATTTATTTTTCTTTATTGATTTGAGAGAGAAAGAAAGGAAGATAGAAACATCGATGAGAGAGAAAGAATATCGAGTGGCCGCCTCCTGCATGCTCCCCACTGGGGATTTGGTCACAACCTGGGCATGTGCCCTGACTGGGAATTGAACCGGCAACCTCTTGGTGCATGGGTTGACGCTCAACCACTGGGCAACACTGGCCAGGCTATTTTATTTAATTTTTAATTAATTTTATTTTACTTATTTTAAAATTTTTATTTATTTACTGATTTTAGAAAGAGAGAAACATCAATTTATTGTTTCACTTATTTATGCATTCATTAGTTGATTCTTGTATGTGCCCTAACCAGGGACTTGAACCCGTAACCCTGGTGTATCAGGACAGTGCTCTAACCAACTGAGCTATCTGGCCAGAGCCAGTATTTTCTTATCTTAAGAAATGGCATTCATTACTTCAACACAGAAATAGTGACTAATAAGGACATATCTGTAATGTAAGAAAAGTAAAGAGACAGATTTTCTTGGGTGACTTGAGAAAATCAGCCTCATTATATTAGTCTCTGTATGTGTGTGTTTTACTAAATGTGAACCCTATGCAAGACACAGGATCCTAACAAAATCTTTATTTTTTATAACACATACCATCTTTAACTATGGCACAGAAGTTGCCCTGGCCAGGTGCTTCAGTTGGTTGGAGCATCGTCTGGTACACCAAAAGGTTGCGAGTTTGATTCCCAGTCATGGCATATTTGGGAGGCAACCAATCAATGTTTCTCTCACATCAATGTTTCTCTCTCTTTAAAAACCAATACATATATATATTTGTTAATCCTCAGCCAAGGATATTTTTCCATTGATTTTTAGATATAGGGGAAGGAAGAAAAGGAGGGAGGGAGAGAGGGAGAAAAGGAGAAAGAGAGAGAAAAACATCAACGTGAGAGGGACACATCTATTGGTTGCCTCCTGTATGATCCTGACTGGGGCAGGGATAGGACCTACAACCCAGCTAAGTGCCCTTGATTGGAAATCGAACCCGTGACCCTTCAGTCTACAGGCCAACGCCCTAACCACCGAGATAAACCTGCAAGGGCAATAAAACATATTTATGTATTTTTTAATCCTCACCTGAGATATTTTTCCAATTTTTTTTTTTTTTCGGACAGAGTGGAAGGTAGGGAGAAACATCGATGTGAGAGGGACACATTGATTGGTTACTTCCTGCATGACCTCAACCAGGGCTGGGGATCGAACCTGAAACTGAGGTACATGCCCTCGACCAGGAATCAAATCTGCAATTCGTTGGTCTTGGGCTGATGCTCTAACTGCAGAGCTAAACCAGCCAGGGCTATTAAACATTTTTAAAACAAGTCTTATGCCCTGGCCGGTTTGGCTCAGCGGTTAGAGCGTTCACCTGCGGTCCGGAGAGACCCGGGTTCGGTTCCCGCTAAGGGCATGTACCTCGGTTGCAGTTTGTCCCCGGCCCTGGTTGGTCGTGTGGGTGGCAGCCACTCGATGTGTCCCTTTCACATCGATGTTTCCCTCTCTCTCTCCCTCCTACTCTGTCTGTACAAAAAATGGAAAAATGTCCTCGGATGAGGATTAAAAAAAAAAAAAAAATTAAAACAAGTCTTATAATTAACTATAGAATAGCATTACATCAATGTAGTAAACATTTTTTACTAAAGTGCTATTTAAAATACAGAATACCCTGGCCAGTTTTTCTCAGTGATTAGAGCATCGGCCTGGGGTCCAGGGAGACCCAGGTTCGGTTCCCACTAAGGGCACATACCTTGGTTGCAGTTTGTTCCCGGCCCTGATTGGGTCGTGAGGGTGGCAACCACTTGATGTGTCCCTTTCACATCAATGTTTCTCTCTCTCTCTCTCCCTCCCACTCTATCTGAACAAAAAATGGAAAAATGTCCCCGGGTGAGGATAAAAAAAAAAATCCTGCTGGAAATTTTTACTTGGTTGTCTCATCACTTCAAACCTACCATCTCTTAACTAACTTGAACTTATCTTTCCATTAAAAACTGTCTCTCATCCCACCAGTATGGCTCAGTGAACTGAACATTGTCTTATGCACTGAGAAGTCCTAGTTGAATTCCTGGTTGGGGCACACGCCTAGTGTGCAGGCTTGATCCCCAGTGAGGGGCGTGGAAGAGGTGGCTAGGCCAATTAATGTTTCTATCTCTTTCTCCCTTCCGCTCTAAAAAAATCAATATATAAAAAATATATTTAAAAAACAAAAAAATATCTCTCCCAAACCCTAGTTAACTAAATTAATACACTGTTCAGCTAAGATACTTATTTTAAAATCTTTATTTATTGATTTTGGGGGGTGGGGAGAGTGAGCGAGCTAATCCACCCGCACAACCAACCAGGGCCGGGGACAAACTGCAACCAAGGTATGCACCCTTAGCAGGAACCGAACCCGGGTCTCTCTGGACCGCAGGCTGCCACTCTAACCGCTGAGCCAAACCAGCCGGCCAGGGCGTAGTGCACACTGTTTTGTTGTTCCACTTATTTATGCATGTATTGGCTGATTCTTGTATGTGCTCTGACTGGGAATCAAACCCACAACCTTGGCATATCAGGACGATGCTCTAACCAACTGAGCTACCTAGCCAGGACTGAGGGGTATTTTTTATTGTTAACCATTAATTGCTGCCCTTTACATCTTCTGACTATATCCCTTCAGTATCACTTTTTTATTTGATCCTCACCTGAGGATATTTGTCCACTGATTTTCGGATAGAGTGGGAGGGAGGGAGGGAGTTGGAGAGAGAAACATCATGTGAGAAAGACACATTGACCAGTTGCCTCCTGCACAACCCCAACTAGGGCTGGGGATCAAATCGAAACTGAGGTACCTGTTCTTGACCAAAATTGAACTCACAACTGCCTGGTCTGTAGCCAGACGCTCAAACCACACACACAAAAAAAAGCCAAACCAGCCAGGGCCAGTATCACTTTTTTAGTTTAGTCTTGCTCAGCGAATGCTTGTAATAACCATATATCAAATATCCTCCACTCTTCCCTCTCCTTTCAAGTCACTGAATAAGGCTGCTACCAGAATATTTCTGAAAATTTTGCTCATGTTATGCTTTAGTTGAAAACACTGAATAATTTCCACTATTTATAGAACCAAGTGTAAGCTTCTTATACTACAATCAAAACCTTCTAAAATATGGTCTTGATGTGTCCTTTTATGGTTTATTTCCTACAACTTTTCCAAATAAAGCCTCTGGACTAGGTAAACGGGTTTATTTATTGTCATCTCAATACATTATGCCTCCCTGTCCTCTGCACTTTTGTTAGTATCATTCCCTATAGTTAAATGTTTTTTAAATTTCTTTACCTGTTCAAGTTTAGCATTCTTCAGGAGTCTGGTCCAATATCTTTTCTCCATAAAGTATTCCATGACTCTTCTAGGGTGAAGTAATCCTTCTCTTTTCCATAAATGGTTATGCTACTTCCTCTATACCATTAATTTTATAATATATCAGACATACCTTAGGATATCTATTCTATCACCTCTACCCCCTCAAGTATTTACTGAGTGCCAAGCACTGATTTAGGCACTAGCAATACTGCAGACAGCAAGCCAGTTAGTTTCGACTCTTATGAAGGTATTGAGAGCATCAGTTCTGAAGTCTGGTTTGATTCTTGTATCTACTATTACTAAATGCAATATGATCTTAGACAATTCTTTAACTCGCTCTTTTCAAATGTGTCTGCAAATAGGAATATAAGTAAAGGAAGAAGAAACTGAAGTTGGTCCATGGAAAGTTTTTCCTAATGGAGATATTAGGCATGTTTGTGTATCAATAGAATAATCTTATACAGAGGTAGAACAGAAAACAGGACTCAAGTCCTTGAGAAGGTGGCAGGCGATCGTAACTAGAGCACATTGGTAGGATAGGCCTTTGAAAGGAAAAAAATTTTCTCCATTGTAACCCAAGATAAGAAAAGGTGGGTATAAGTGTAGGTGGGTTTATAGATTTGATATGAAGAGGCAGTTAGGCCACTGGCTGAGAGTGAGTGTTAAAGAACATGAAGGTTGAAAAAGAAATGATGACGCTGTCTTATTGAGTGGGGGAAAAAGCATGCCCAAGTGGAGAAACTCAGTAGATCTGCCAAGCAGTACTGAATGTTAACCTTAAGTTTGTCATCTTAAATTTAAAGTGAAGCCAATCAGCTTTATGACATGATTTTCCTCCAGTATGAACAGCTCTTTGGGCATAGGCACTGAGAAGACATGGTTCATTGAGAATGGCATCTCTTCAGGTATGGAATATAAATCTGAGGGTATTGGTAAAGGAATGACTTTAATGATGAATCATGGAATCTAGACTAGTGAAGAGGGATGATAAAGAAAGTATTTGAAATCAATGTATGATGTGGGAAAATTGTGCAGTAGAAATATATCTTAACTAGCATATAGGATTCTTGAGGACAGAGAAAGTGCCTTTTATGTCCATCCCAAAAGATGCTTGAAAAGAGTGGAAATGAACTTGTTCTTGCTGATTTGATTCAGTAGAGGCTCAACAGCTCACCTGGCAAGTTACAGCCAAAGTATGACATATTTGTGTCTTCCCAGTTCGGAATTCTCCAAACATCTCTGTGATGGATCCAGTCTCAATTCCTCCTAACAGAGCAATAAGAAACAACTCTTAGCACAACACAAATGTTTAGAAACAGTAATCATAGAAAAGTTCTTGGAGTTCATCAGAAAGATATTTACAGGTGGGTACAGTGGTACAAAAGGGAAGGTTAATACTCAAATTTAAGAGTGATTCCTGAACTCCTGCTATTTTGAATCCAAAAAAGGAAAACGTGAACGATTTGGGGAAGCAGCAAGAATCAAATCTAACTTAGGACAGCAATATTTTCAAATTTTCAAAAACCACAGCTTTCTGCCCTGGTTGGGTAGTTCAATTGGTTAGAGCATTGTCCTGATACTCCAAGGTTGTAGTTTTGATCCCCAGTCAGAGCATACAAGAATTGCCATGGCTGGTATGGGTCAGCAGTTAGAGCATCAGCCTGTGGTCCAGAGAGACCCGGGTTCAGTTTCCACTAAGGGCACGTACCTCAGTTACACTTTGTCCCCAGCCCTGGTTGGGCTGTGCAGGAGGCAGCCACTCGATGTGTCCCTTTCACGTCGATGTTTCTCTCTCTCTCCCTCCTACTCTATCTGAACAAAAAAATGGAAAAATGTCCTCAGGTGAGGATAAAAAAAGAATCAACCAATGCATACGTGGAACAACAAATTGATGTTTCTCTCTCTCTCTCTCCCTCGCTCTCTAAAATAAAAATAAATAATTTTTAAAAACGTGCCCTGGCTGGTGTGGCTCAGTGGTTGGAGCGTCGGCCCGCGGACCAGAGAGTCCTGGGTTCGGTTCCTGCTAAGGGCACGTACCTCGGTTGCAGTTTGTCCCCCGCCCTGGTTGGGGTCGTGTGGGTGGCAACCACTCGGTGTGTCTCTCTCAGGTCGATGTTTCTCTCTCTCTCTCTCTTCCTCCCTCTCTCCCTCCTGCTCTATCTGAAGATAAATGCAAAAATGTCCTCGGGTAAGGATAAAAAATAAAAAAAAAACTTAAAAAAAAAACCCCACAAAACTACAGCTTTACATCAAGTCCTAAAGATTAGTGTACACTACAATGTGGTATTCAAACATGGAGTATTTTAATCAGTCATCAGATTCTCAAACTTGTGTTAAAGTAAAAGGTTAAAATAATTTCTTTAGGCAGAAGAAGCTTACTCTCTGAATATAATATTAAAAGGAGATTAAACTATTTAGCTGGTAGATAATGTTAGTATGTTATAAGTCAGGTCCCTCCCTGCAGCAGTCTTATTTCATCAGTGTGGACATTCTCTCATCTCTTAATCATATCTAACATACAAATTCTACCCATATACTTTAGTTTTGTTCTATGACCTGGGTGCTTTGCTAACTGCAGTTCACAATATAGGATAAGGAATTACTACACCTTGAAGTAGTTTGTCGAGCTCCTTGGAGCCAGTTGTAATCTGTATGATCTCTGATCGCCTTTGGTGGAACTCAGTTGCAGTGGTGAAACCCATTGGAACTAATTTAGCTGCCTCAGTCTGGGAAAAACAAGAAATGTCAGACCAAAAAATAAGCTTACCAAAACAAGACCCAGGCATATAGTAGGAAGAGACAACATCTAACAAATTTCCATCATGATTTCTCTTTAAGAAATCATCAAAATACTATTTTTCTAGTTCTAGGATTACTTTATCTCTTTGGCAACTAAAGGTTAAGCTAATTTAGAGACTCCATGAAGATTAATGTTTAAATGGACAATTCAAGTAATACATTCATATACTTAAAAAAACTATTATAGACACACATAGATGTACTCCATCTGATTTATGACAAATGTGACAATACAGTACAAGGTCCAAAATATATCTAAACATTCATTTCCTGTTCCATTAACCAAAGACTATTAACTCTTAACTTTATTAAATGAAGGTATTTGTCTTTTGATCTACTTCCTCACCTCTGTCAGCTGTTCATTTTCTTTTACCTTTTACTTTTTCTGAGACATTTATATCCTATTTTGTAGTTACTGATATGTCTTCAATGGTCAGTCTATCAGTTGATTCCAAAATCTAAAATTAATGCACTTGCAAATATGTGGGAATTAAACGCTATACTCCTAAATAACCAGAATCAAAGAAGACACCATAAGGGAAATCAGAAAATACTGTGAGATGAATAAAAATAAAGACACAAACACCAAAACTTATGGGATGCAGCAAAAGTTGTGTGTAAAGGAAAATTTATGGGTGTAAATGCCTATATCAGAAAAATCTTAAATAACCTAGCCTTCCACCTTAAGATATTAGAAAAAGAAGAGCGCCCTGGCTGGTTTGGCTCAGCGGTTAGAGCATCTGCCTGCGGTCCGGAGAGACCCGGGTTCGGTTCCCGCTAAGGGCATGTACCTCGGTTGCAGTTTGTCCCCGGCCCTGCTTGGTCGTGCGGGTGGCAGCCACTCGATGTGTCCCTTCACGTCGATGTTTCCCCTTCTCTCCCTCCCTCCCACTCTATCTGTGCAAAAAATGGAAAAATGTCCTTGGGTGAGGATAAAAAAAAAAAAAGAATAGAAAAAGAAGAGCAAATTAAACAGAAACAGAAGGAAGGAAATAAGATTAGAGTATAAACCAGAGAACAAAATTATAATAGAGAAAAATCAACAAAACCAAAGTTGATTCTTTGAAAAAAATCAATAAAATTAATAAATCTTTATGCAAACCCCATCCCCACCAAAGACTAAAATCAGGAATAAAAAAGGGGACATCATTATTAATCTAACAAAAATAAAACGATGCCAATAAATAACTTAGACAAAATAGGCAAATTTCTAGAAAGACTCAAACTAGCAAATTCAAGTAGAAGAATCCAAGTCAAGGCACCAAAAGATCAGTAGAACTTGAGTCTAAATTCAGTAAAATTAATAATCTGAGTCTGACTACCAAAAAAATAGAAAACGAAAATATGAATAGATCAATATCAAGTAAAGAGATTAAACTTATACTTTAAAAACTTTCTCTAAACTTCTCTATATTTTTCTTCTTTACTGATTTTCGAGAGCGAGGAAGGGAGAGGAAGAGGGAGAGTGAAACATCAATGAGAGAGAACATTGATTGGCCACCTCTTGCATGCCCCCCACTGGGGATTGGACCCACAACTTGGCATGTGCCCTGATGGGGAACTGAATCGATGAACTCTGGGTACATGGGTCGATGCTCAACCACTGAGCAACACTGGCCGGGCTTGAGTTGGAACCACTCTAACCTAGATCCTATGTTTTTCCACCTTCATTTTGGTAAAGTATATCCCCAAGTAACTTCCTAAGAAAAAGTGGGTGAGAGAAAAATGTTCTGAATTCTTATATTTCTGAAAATGTTTTATTCTGCCCTAATATTTGATTAATAATATTGCTATAAATAGAATGCTATGTTTAAGATTATTTTCCCTCAGAGCTTTAAAAGTATTGCTCTACCTGCTTCTACTATACAGATTTCTGATAGAAAATGTGCTTTCTGATTGTTGTTCCTTCCTTTTTTCTCTCTGAAATCTTTTCAGAATCTTCTCTTCATGATTGGTATACTGAAATTTCACACTGATCTATCTAGGTGTTGGTCTTTGATACTCCATGGGGTCTTACTATGTAAGACTTCTGCTTCCCTTTAACTCTGTCAAGGTTTATTGTGTTATTTCTTTGAGAATTTCTTTCGTTCTATTTTCTGTAATCTCTCTTCTTGTAACTTCTACTAATCTTCAGGATGAATGAAGATTTAGAAAATAAAATCACCAAAGAGAGTGGAGAAAAAACTATACATCAATATTGAAATCTAGTTAATGTATGCTAAGATATTTAGGGAAAATGTACTAATATCTGTAACTTCCTTTGAAAAGCATAAAAAATATCCAAGACGGACTGACTGCTAGATAGAGAGATAAACAGAGAGGTGATAAAGCAAGCATGTTAATAATGTTAACAAGTATCATAATGTTAATGGTATAGTCTAGGTCAGTGGTTCTCAGTTCCTTATTTTGTGGCGACCCCCAACCATAAAATTATTTTAGTTGCTACTTCTTAACTGTAATTTTGCTACTGTTACATCTTAGGCGACCCCTGTGAAAGGGTCATTTGACCCCCAAAGTGGTCGCGACCCAAAGGTTGAGAACCGCTGGTCTAGGTGGTGGGTATATAATTGTTCATTGTATAGTTCTTTCTAAGTTGAAAATTTAATAACAAAATGTTGAGAAAACTCAGAAGGAGATGCTTTACCTACTTTTCATTTTATTCCCTACATTTTCTAGTCTATGAGTTCTTAAAGGAACAGAATATTATAACCAAAGTGAAATTTGAAATAAAAAACCATCTAATTGCGTAACCTAGCAGAACTTTACTTCTATTCTTACACTTAACATAATAAGCTTGCTTTCATCTGTGCTAGGTAGAAGTGTTTAGAAGTTTTCAATAGCCAAGAACTATCAACCCTTGGACACAAGACATAAGATAGCAAGTAAAAGGAAAATATTACAAAAATATCCATGCTGAATCTGTCAGTGCTATGATAGTATACCAAGCAAGAAAGAATAGCTCAATAAAAGCCACTAACAATTTCTTTAAACTGAAAATGTGGAAAAAGCCACAGGAGAATCTGGCACCTTCTGAATTGCTTCATTCACAGTATCATTCTCTCACCTATTCTGATTTATATTCTGAATTTGGATTTCTTTTCTTGAGTCTCCTTTCATCTTCTATCACCATATATTTGACTCCCTTTACCCTTTACTATCTCCCACCCCCTTTCCCTCTGGTAACCACCATTCTGTTGTCTGTGTCTAAGTTTCAGATTTATATCCCACATATGAGTGAAATCATATAGTTCTTAGCTTTTTCTGACTGACTTATTTCACTAAACATAATGTTTCCAAGGTCCCAGATCATGAATCACAGAAATGTACACTTGAAACTTATATAATCTTATTAACCAATGTCACTCCAATAAATTTAGTAAGAAAAATAAAAATAAATAATTCTGGAGATAGTTTCCTTTCTCCATTGTGACTATGGATATTCTTGCTGAAAAGTCTCAATTCCAAGATTTTGGGGGAATGGGAGGGAATAGCCACAGTACTGAATAAATTTTATTTAGCCTTTAAAAGTAAATAGCACAGGCACGTACCTCGGTTGCAGTTTGTCCCCGGCCCTGGCTGGGTTGTGTGGGTGGCAGCCACTAGATATGTCTCTTTCACATTGATGTTTCTCTCTCTCTCTCTCTCCCTCTCCTACTCTATCTGAACAAAAAATGGAAAAATGTCCTTGGGTGAGGATAAAAAAAAAAGTAAATAGCACAAATTGCAAAAAATAAAAATATAATAAAAATTTAAAACACCTGTAAGGAAAAATAAATAAAAGTAAATATGACCAGCCGGTGTGGCTCAGTGGCAGAGTGTCAACCCACGCGCCAAGAGGTTGCTGGTTCGATTCCCGGTGAGGGCACATGCCCAGGTTGGGAGCATGCAGGAGGTAGCCAATCAATGTTCTCTCTCATCGATGTTTCTATCTCTCTCCCCCTCCCTTCCTCTCTCTCTCTAAAATCAATAAAAAAAATAAATTAAAAAAAATAAATAGCACAATCTTTACTCACCAGAAATTCACAATATAAAATGTCTGAAATCAACAGGACAAATATATAAAAAGACATATCTATATCATTTCGCACATCTCATTTCACTTATTACAGGTTTGTATGTTTTCACCGAAGGAGAACATTAATTTGACTTCTAAAACTAAGAAGGTCTTACAAGGCATAAATAAAGATCCTGTCAGGATTTGTTCAGCCACAAAAACTGATGTTCAAAAATAAACAACAAATAGACTTTAGGGACACCTACTGGCTTAGTCAATATCACAGTCTTACAATAAGGTATTAGGGACTCAGAACTCTTACTTCTAATTAAGTCACCACTTCAAACATTCTTTTTTTTTTCTCCTCACCCGAGGACATTTTTCCATTTTTTGTTCGAATAGAGTGGGAGGGAGAGAGAGAGAGAGAAACATGGACACGAAAGGGACACATTGAGTGGTTGCCACCCACACGTCCCAACCAGGGATGGGGACAAACTGCAACCGAGGTATGTGCCCTTAGTGGGAACCGAATCCGGGTCTCTTTGGCCCACAGGCCGACGCTCTAACAGCTGAGCCAAACCGGCCAGGGCCAAACATTCTTTTTGAGTAATCCAATAAATGACATCTTTCCTCTCAAACTAAGAATTCCTTATGATTTTTGAGCCCTGACTAAATTACTATTACATAGTGGTACTAAATAAATGGAGTAACAGCTCTGCCAGTGCTGAAAAATTCAAAGCTCTTCGTATAAAACCCAATAAAACAGAATTTACTGGGCGCTGTATGTATTGTGTGTTTAAGATATTAAATAAGTATACACATAAATCTCAGATGTCCATTTGAGTAAGTTACATAGCAAAACTACATGTACCCAATAACAAAGAATGTACTCTTTTGCAAGATTCTTTAGCTTTTACAAGATTATTTTTCAGAGAAAATTTCTGTAAAACTGTATGTTTTATGTGGATTAATAGCAGTAAAACAAGTAATACTGGCTCTACTTTTCTTTCTCCATGTCATTATGAAGGCAAAATGATAACATGTGAAAGCAATGGGATTTCAAAGTTAAAGTGCTTTATAAGGGATTTCGGTGAAGCCAGTAAAATCACTTTTTTCTCATTTATTAAGATATTAAAAAAACCAAGTGTATGATAAGAAACCACACCCTCTTATCATTATTAAAGAATCTTGCCTGTGATTAGTTCACTAACAAATTATACATACTGAGGGTCTAATTAATATGACTTTAATATTCAAGCAATAAAAATAGCTTTTCTATTTGAAACGAAAATATGTTTATTATAGAAAATGTAGCCCTGGTTGGTTTCTCAGTGGTTAGAGCGTTGGCCTGCAGACAAGGGCATGTACCTCAGTTGCAGTTCAGCCCCCAGCCCTGGTTGGGGTCGTGCAGAAGGCAGCTAGTCAATATGTCTCTCTCACATCAATATTTCTCTCTCTCTTTCTCTCTTCCACTCTGTTGGAAAATATCCTTGGGTGAGAATTAAAAAAAAAAAAGTAGAGCCCTGGCCAGTTTGGCTCAGCGGTTAGAGCGTCGGCCTGCGGTCTGGAGAGACCCGGGTTCGGTTCCCGCTAAGGGCACGTACTTCGGTTGCTCGGTTGCAGTTTGTCCCCGGCCCTGGTTGGTCATGCGGGTGGCAGCCACTCGATGTGTCCCTTCACGTCGATGTTTCTCTCTCTCTCTGTCCCTACCTCTCTCTCCCTCCCACTCTATCTGTACAAAAAAAGGGAAAAATATCCTCGGGTGAGGATAAAAAAATAAATAAAATAAAATAATGTTTAAAAAAAATAAAAATAAAAAGTAGAGACCTCAAAAAATTGAGGCAAAAATAAAAATTGCTTATATTCTTCCCATTCAAAAGTAACATTAATATTTGTGTATTTGTGATTGTGCTATATATTTATAAATACATTTTTAAAAACAAAAATCAATCATGTATGTAGTATGTGTGTGCATACATACACAACACGTTTTAACATTTCTTGTATCAAAAACATTATCCTGTGTCAATATTCTTCTAAACTTTTCCCCCTTTTCTTTTCTTTATTGATTTTTAGAGAGAGAGGAAGAGATAGAAACATCAATAAGAGAGAACATCAATTGGCCGCCTCCTGCATGCTCCCAACTGGGTGGGGATTGGGCCCACAACCTGGGCATGTGCTCTGACCGGGAATTGAACTGGCGACCTCTTGGTGCATAGCTCAATGCTCAACCACAGAGTCACATCAGCTGGGCTTCTTTGAAACTGTTTTATGTGACTGCATTCAAAAGAATATTTCTTTTTTATTTATTTATTTTTTGTTAATCCTCACCAGAGGATATTTTTTCCATTGAATTTTAGAGAGACTGGAAGGGGGGCGGGGGGCATTGATGTGAGAGAGACATCTACAGGTTGCCTCCTGCACATACCCTGACCCAGCCAAAGATCAAACCTGCAACCTATGTACATGCCCTTGACTGGAATCAAACCCATGACCCTTTGGTATGCAGGCCAATGCTACAACCACTCAGCAACACTGGCCAGGGCTGAAGAATATTTCTAAGGTATGAGGTCATAGTATCTAGAAAGATAAAGTATATACCACTCATTGCTGGTGGGAATGCAAATTGGTAGTCAACTTGAGAGCATTTATGTCATAACCTATGATACTGCAATTCCTTAGAGAAAAATCCAATTTATTCAAGAAGGCACATACAGAGATAATTAACTGGTAATGATGCTGTCACCCCTGGAAAGGGGAACAAGATGACACAACAAGGAATGGAAGGAGGAAGACCACCACCTTTCACTGTATACCCTTTTGTACTACTCCCTCCAGTGCCTTCCTAGGTCACGTAAGCAGTTCTTACCAGAATTTTATCGGCTTTGGCTTCACTAATCCCCTTAATATTTATCAGTTCCTTCTTTGGTGCATAGGCAACAGCCTCCACAGTATGGAATCCAGCTTCTTCCAATTTCTTCACATCATTGGCACTTATGCCACATTGCTGCAAGTGAAGAAAATGGATAAATTTAAACTTCAGTTTTCTCATCTGTCTAATGTAAGTATTTGCCCTACCTATTTCATGGAGCTGTCTGGAAGAACTGTGATATTATATGCAAAAGCTTTGAAAAGTGTGCCCTACATATAAGGCATGTAATAAAAAAATTATCACAACCAGGAGATTTTATCTAGCACTATCACATGTACATTAAAATGGACTCACCCTGGCCGGTTTGGCTCAGCGGTTAGAGCGTCCGCCTGCGGTCCGGAGAGACCCGGGTTCGGTTCCCGCTAAGGGCATGTACCTTGGTTGCAGTTTGTCCCCGGCCCTGGTTGGTCATGCGGGTGGCAGCCACTCGATGTGTCCCTTTCACATCGATGTTTCCCTCTCTCTCTCTTCCTCTCTCTCCCTCCCACTCTATCTGTACAAAAAATGGAAAAATGTCCTTGGGTGAGGATTAAAAAAAAATAATAAAAAAAAATAAAAATAAATAAAATAAAATAAAATAAAATAAAATGGACTCATCATCAATTGGGTTTAAACCAGTAACTTCCAACTACTGGAAATTGTAACTCTCAATGTCTTATGACTGGGATGCTAAATGAACTCTGAGACCCTGGGTCCAAAAGGCCACTGTAAGCCAGTATTTCCCAATGTTTTTCGCATCAAGCACACATAAAAAAAATGATATTTTTTATACTACACTGGGGTTAACAGATGAGGCTGCCCCAGAGCTGAGGGGAGCACTATCTTAGCATATCAATAATCTTTAAAAACAAAAAAATCTTTTTGTAACACAATGACTAGAAGACTCTGCTCTAAAAACAGATGATTTTGTACACCAATTCTCAAACAAACCATTTCTTTCTCCCTATATACAAAGTCAGCTTTGGTTTTTATTAGCCATCGAAAGCACGGCTTCTGGGAGAGTATGAGTTAGTGGGGGGATGTGTATGTATTAGGGAGTCAGGGAAGCTTTGGGAGATGAGAGAATGGTATCTGCCATAGAAACCTTGTCTGTATTTAATATTTAGGCAATAAGTAATACACATATATGCATATAGAGATGCTCATGCCCTGGCTAGTTTGGCTCAGCGGTTAGAGCATCGGCCTACGGGCCAATGAGTTGCGGGTTCGATTCTGGTCAAAGGCACATACCTCGATTAGGATTCGTCCCCAACACTGGTTGGGGTCGTGCGGGAGGCAGCCACTCGATGTGTTGCCTTTACATCCATGTCTCTCTCTCTCTCTCCCTCCCACTCTATCTGAACAAAAATGGAAAAATGTCCTCGGGTGAGGATTTAAAAAAAAAAAAAAAAAGGTGCTCATGATACTGAAAGTTATGACTCTGAACTTTCTAATGTTTATCACAAACCTGTTGGTAACGTCTGGAGTCTTGAAGCTTAGCGGGAGCTAGAAAGACTATGTGGAAGAGACAAAGAATGGAGGATTTCTCTTCTACTTCTTTCAGCCCATGTACCAGCACTCACACAGGATCCTCCATACAATGAGCAGAAATAGTGTAAGGCTCCAGCTTTGGTGCTTGATGTTCTTGTGCAGAGTTCTGAATTACAGCCTGGCTCTAATGAAACAGGCCCATAAGCCAGGGCAAGTGAAATAGGCAAACTGAGACAGATAGCTGAACAAACTGGTCATCTCCCTAGAAATGACATCTAGGCCTCAGTTATATTTCAGCTCCAGACCCAGAAAACCAGGTGGGGGACACCAGAACCAGCTGCAGTGACTAACTACCTCCTGTCCTGACAATGACCAATCAATGGAGACCACGACCCTGAAGGAGCACACCTAGAAAACTGATGAATATTCTGCTGAAACTTTCCCCAGAGACTTCTCCTAAAATTCTCACCTGCAAGTGAGAGATGAAAGCCTCAAGACAAAGAACCCAGGCAGCGCTCTCCAGCCTGGTAGGGAGAGCATGTCCACGCCCCCCCCCCCCCCTCTTCCGGGGGCATGCATCTCCTAAACTCTAAGGGGCCTCATGAGGCTTGCAACCAGGGGAGCAATGGGCAGCAGCAGTTGGTCCCAGACAAATCCCCTGAACCTGTCTCCAAGGCCCCCTTTTCTCTGACTTTTTTTTTTAATCCTTACCTAAGGATATCATTGCTTTTAAGATAGAGTGGAAGGGGGAGGGAGAGAGGGAGGGAGAGAGAAGGAGAGAGAGGGAAAGGGAGGGAGAGAGAGGGAGAGAGAAGGTGAGAGGGATACATCAATTGATTGCCTCCTGCACAACCCTCACTGGGGCCTGGGATCAAACCTACGACCCAGGTAGGTGCCTTTGACTGGAAAATGAACCCCACGACCCTGACGCCTTGCTCTAACTGCCGAACCAAACTGCCAGGGCTTCTCTTTTTTTTTTTTTAATCCTCACCTGAGGACATTTTTCCATATTTTGTTCAGATAGAGTAGGAGGGAGAGAGAGAGAAACATCGATGTAAAAGGGACACATCGAGTAGCTGCCACCCGCATGACCCAACCAGGGCCGGGGACAAACTGCAACCGAGGTATATGCCCTTAGCGGGAACCGAACCCAGGTCTCTCTGGACTGCAGACCGATGCTCTAACCACTGAACCAAACCGGCCAGGGCTTCTCTGACTTCTTAATGAGCCAAAGCAGACTAGCCTTGGCTCACTTCCTTAGCCCTTTCTCGTTTCACATCCCCAGCTTTAATAAACATCCTCTAAAATTCACCTGGACTAATGTGAAATTTTTCCTGCACAAAGTCAAGAACCCACACACTACCGCCTGGCTCTAGACAGACCCGTTCAGGGCCAGGTCTCCTTCCCCATAACACTTATACCTTAACAACTACAAATGCTTCTCCCTGATCATGACAGCTGTCTTGCCATTAACTTCAGCACATACTTGAGTCTCTCCTCCCTGCATCACTGGCCAGGCCAGTGTAATACCTTGGACTGTAATTTAATACTTAATACAAACAGCACACTCTTACCATGGTCTTAGGGCTTTTCTTAGTTTCTGACAATCCAGCTCTGAGAAAGAAAAGTGATGAAGTAGGAGGAGAATTCTCGACAAAAGAAGACATCTAAGATGTTTAGCCTTTCCACAGGACCCTTGACAACCCTTCTGAAAACTAATTTGAGTCTTGACCATAGGCAGTAAAGCAATGATTTACTCAGTGGTTCTCAACCTTCCTAATGCCATGACCCTTTAATACAGTTCCTCATGTTGTGGTGACCCCCCAATCATAAAATTATTTTTGTTGCTACTTCATAACTGTAATTTTGCTACTGTTATGTCTTAGGCGACCCCTGTGAAAGGGTCGTTTGACCCCCAAGGGGGTTGTGACCCCACAGGTTGAGAACCGCTGATTTACATAAAGGCTATGATTTCTCCCAATAGGTAGAAGAATCTAATAAAGCTTTAAAATTCCCCAATTAACAACTAAGCACATACCTCTAATCGTGAAATAGGTTGCGGGCCAAAGTTCTCTTCTTCCACTGAAGTATCTGCATTTGCTTCAAGTTGCATCTGCATAGCCATTACTCAGTGCTCAATACTGAAAAATACAGATGGTCATCAGGAAGAACACTAGAGGAAGTACAGAGCTGCAAACTTAGTTTTTTATTTTTTTAATGTCTTCATTGATTTTTTTTGAGAGAGAGGAAGGGAGAGAGAGACAGAAACATCGAGGTGAGGGAGAAACATAGATAGGCTGCCTCCTGTACACCCCCCACCAGGGATGAGCCCGAAACTTGGGCATGTGCCCTGACCGGGAATCAAACAGGACCTCTCAGTCCATGGGACCATACTCAACCCACTGAGCCACACCAGCGGGGGCAAACTTAGTTTTGCAATAAATTTCTTTAAGAAATTACTTGGTAGTCCCGCCGGTGTGGCTCAGTGGTTGAGCGTGGACCCCACGCACCGAGAGGTGGCCGGTTGGATTCCCGGTCAGGGCACATGCCCAGGTTGTGGGCCGGGTCCCCAGTGGGGGGCATGCAGGAGGGAGGCAGCCAATCGATGTTCTCTCTCATCGAGGTTTCTCTCTCCCTCCCTCGCTGGCTCTCTCAAATCACTAGAGAAAAAGTTAAATAACAAATAATTCCCTAGGCATCACGTGAACGGTCTTCCGATTAGAGAACTGGCAACTGGAGTAAGCAAAGCATGGTGTCATGGAGGGCTGGCCCGAAACCGGAAACCCTGGCTCTAACATACAACAGCTGAGATTTTGAGTCTCTACAGTCTCTGGATCTCGACGTCCTCGCCACGCCCACAAACTGGGTGCTGGAAATGAAGGCCTCACTAAGTCCCCCAGCTCGCAAGATGAGTCCGCTTCTGTTCTCGCCGCCACGAGCTCCGAGGTCGTTTGGTCCCGCGCGCGCCCCTGCCTCACTTGCCGCGGAGGGGCCCATAAGCCGGCTTTGGGAGCCCCGGCCCGGCCCGGCCTGGCTAACGGCGGGACGCACCTGGCGGTGGAAAGGGACCCCGTCTGCGCCCGACACACTCACCCGGGCCTGCAGCGCTGCTCGCTCCGACCTCCGTCCGGTGGCCGGCACGCGCCCGACCCGGGACGGCCTCCAGACGCCCTCGCGTGCGCCCCACTTCTTTGCTCCGACCTTCTGCACACAACCCAAGCGAGCTTCAGCTCCCAACTGCGCGCCTCGGGAACGCCTCAGCTCCCCACAGGCCTCGGCCTCCAGCTGCAGCGCGCGCTCGGCGGCGGCTTTCGTAAATCCCGCCAAACCCTCTCACGCCCGCGTCAACGTAACGTCTCTCCGCCCTTCTCGGATCCGCCCTGTAGCCTGTCCCGCCGCTGCTTGGGCCCCGGAGCTGAGCCGAAAGGACGTGACCTGGCTTGATACTCTGTGTCGCCCTCTTCCTTTTATTCCTTAGGACTAACTCAAAATTTGGGGGTTGCCGCCTTCCAGGATTACAACTCAAAACTTGGTGGGGTCGACTGGAGACTACATCTCCCAGCATGCACCCGGGCGGACCGGGCGGACGTAGCTCCTCAGCGTCTGGGAAACAGCCGGGCTCGAGCCCTCCTCTTCGTTAAAAGTATCGAAACGCGAGCGCTTGGCACTACCAGGAGGGCTGAGCCTCTGACTCGAATTCCCGGAGCCAGGCGCTTTCCGGGCCCCTGGTGGAGCTAGGGCAGCTAGAGTAGATGGATGAAACTGGGGAATCGAGCCGGTGGATGGGGAGGAAAAACACGGCTGAATATTAGTCAAGCTGTGGTACTTTGCTGGAGATTTGCACAACTCCAGAGGAAGGAGGCATTGATTTTGAGAGGGTGAACCTTATCATGATTTACTGGAGTTTAATTAATCTGTTATTCCGGTTTTCAAGAGTGAATAGGATTTCCGGGCGAAGCAGCAGCATTGGAAGACAAGCAAATAAGAGCATTGTGCACATAGAAATTTAACGGAATCAAAGAATAGAATTGTCTGGTGAGGGAGGAGATAGGCCATAAGAGGTTCTCGGGGCGGAGAGTTACGTTTTAGTTCAGGCTTTGAAGAGGTTTAAGACCGTGTGTGGAGCTTTAGTCTTCAGTCTTTAAGTAACGGGGAAATCATTGAAAGTGTTTAAGCAGACCAGTCATATGGTTAGATCTATATCCACCACCACCACCACCACTACTTTATATTTGTGGAGTGCTTTAAAGTTCATAGTTTCCATTTAATCCTCACACCATTACCTTGTGGCATTGAAGGATAAATTTTAAGAGAGTAAAGGCAACAAAAGCTGTTAAGAAGCTCTTGCAGTATTTTAGGCAAGAGATGAAGGCTTGAGTTAAAAAGCAGTGACAACTGATTCAGGAAGCATTCTGGAAGTACAAGCAACCTAACAACCTAACAGTGATTAATTATAGATAGTACCTGGGGATAATTATGAGCTGCCTGCCATACCAAAGATACCCACATTTACCTCCCATTCTTCACATACATTCGTCCCTTGCCACTTCGCGCTTTGACTTTTGGGGCTTCACTCTATCCCGTTTTTTTTCAAATATATTTATTAAAAAGTTGATGGAACCAGGCCGGTGTGGCTCAGTGGCTGAGCGACGACCCATGCACTAAGAGGTCGCTGGTTCGATTCCCAGTCAGGGCACATGCCCAGGTTGTGGGCCTGACCCCAGTGGGGGGGCATGCAGGAGGTGGCCGATCGATGTTCTCTCTCATCGATGTTTTTCTCTCTCTCTCCCTTCCTCTCTCTCTCAGATCAATAAAGGAAAAAATTTTTTAAAAAGTTGATCGAGACAGTGAAAATGATACAGCGTGTGCTCGGTTGTCTGAGTCAATTATACACCCCTGTATTACAACTAAAATTAAAATTACTGTACGTATGGACTGTAAGCCTATGTATTTGAGCACCCTAGGAATCCTTCAACGCCAGGTGCAACCACTAGAGTCTGGAACGAATTAACTGCGATAAACGAAGGACGACTGTATACTCCTTAGAGCATCTGCAAATCCATAACTCCTCTTGGCTAAGTGAAGTCACAAGCCTTTGACCTTTACTAAACTTAAATTCTTGTGGCTGTGTGGATGTTAAATCAGAGAAATCCCATCTGCAGGAAGATTAAAAATTGAGACTGCCCTGCCCGGTAGCTCAGTTGGTTAGAGCATCTCTTGATACCTCAAAGTAGAGAGTTCCATCCCAGGTCAGGACACATGCAAGAGTCAACCAATGAATGCATGAATGAATGGAGCAAATAGACATTTCTCTTTCTAAAAAAATCCATTTTAAAAAATTGAGAGAGACTAAGAAAGTGAGAGTCTGAGACAGAAAGAAACACTTTTGAATTCTGACTGCTTTCTAGATCTCTTTTCCAGTTTCTCAGGAACCCAACAGCACTTATTGCTCTTAAGGTCTATGAGATAACCCTACACTCGAATGAATCGTCCTTTTTTTCTGCTTAAACCAATTTGAGTAGTTTTCTGTTCCTTTGCTCCAAGACAACCCACTATGAACTTGGAAATAAGACAAACTAGATTTCTAATAGTTAAATTAGCAATTCATGAGCCCTGGCCCATTTTGTTCAGTGGTTAGAGAGCCTGCCAGGACCAGAGAGTTGTGGATTCAATCACAAGCCCTGGTTGGGGTGGTGCTCGAAGTTTCTCTCTCGCTCTCTCTCCCCCTCCCCCTCTGAAAATCAATGGAAAAATATCCAAAGTGAGGATAAAAAAAATTAGCAATTCATGAGTATATTTATATAAATGTATAATTGAAATGTTTTGGATATATCCTTAATTATAACCTAAGTGACCTATCTGAAATCTCAGGGAGGCAACCTCTGATAAGACCAAAACTCAACCAGCAGAAACCTAATCTTCTGTCTAAAGAAAAATAATCTCATCAGCATAGTCAGCCTGGAACATAGAAAGGGAAATTTGAAAGGGGAACCCAGTATCCAAGTGATCCTTTTGAGTAGTGCAAGGATGATTTGATATTAGGATGTCTTTTATTAATACTAATAGAGCAAAGAGAAAAAAATTAATTTCATCATTTGAAAAATCATTCAATAAAATTCAAACATAAATTCCTGATTAAGGTGTAAAAAGGTAATTATATGTTTCCTTAACACAATCAAGAAAAAATAAGCTACCATCATCTGCTTACTGGTAAAATGTTAGAAACACTTTCATTAAAACCATAAATATCTAAGAATAAAAATTTAGAAATGCTCAGGACCTACATGGAAAAGTATCTAAAACTATGTTCCCAGAGGAGAAGGCTTAGTATTATAAACTTCAAAATTCTTCAAAATCAATGAATTTTCAATAGAAATCTCAATGAGATTTTTGGCAATCACTGTTGGTTGCCTACCCAACAGTCATTGCCCTTCTTTATAGCTAAGAGAACCTAGTGTGTAGAAAAATGCTTAGTAAGCTTTTGGCTGATTTTGCCTTCCTCTATATTCATTTTTATATTGTTTGAATTTTTAGTATACATTTTTTTGACTATGTGATAATTTTAAAATTGTAACAAAAATATAAAATGCCTTGAAATAAACTTAAAAAGAAAAGTGTACATCCTATATGAGAAAACTTTAAGATATTAAAGGACACAAAACAAATAAAACATACTATGTACTGACTCAACAGCTTAAAAGATATCAGTTCCCCCTGAATTGATCTTTAAATTTAATGTGATGTAATCTCAGTAAAAATGCCAAAAATAAATTTGGGGGAACTGAACAAGCTAGTTCTCACCTTTATATGGTAAAATAAAAAACAAGAGCCAGGAAATCCTGAAATAAAAGGGTCTGAACTGACCAGATATTAAAAGATATTATAAAACTACAATAATTAAAAGATATTTGTACAAAAAAGTTAGGTTGCCCGGCTGGTGTGGCTCAGTAGTTGAGCATCGACCCATGCACCAAGAGGTCACTGGTTCGATTCCTGGTTAGGGCACATGCCCAGGTTGTGGGCCAAATCCCCTGTGGGGGGCATGCAGGAGGTGGCCAATCGATGTTCTCTCTCATTGATGTTTCTCTCTCTCCCTTTCCCTTCCTTTCTCTCTAAAATCAATAAAAA